AACTGTTGGAGTCCCATTGATAAAGCAATTGTTTTCCTGTAGTAGCTTCAAAGCTCCGGCCTTATGTTAAGGTTGCTAAGGTTGTTGATATGTTTTGAATTGATTTTTGCACAGGGAGGTCAGTAGAAGCCTGATTTCAGTTGTTTACATGTGGATACCAATCTTTTCCAGCACACATTTTTCTCCCTGAGACAGGGTTTCTCTGTGTAGCTTGGTAGACCAGGCTGGCCTCAAAGTCACAGATCTGCCTGGCATTAAAGGCGTGTGCCACCACTGCCTGTCTTCCAGCATCATTTGTTAAAGCTCTTCAATATGTGTTTGTAACACTTTTGTGAAGAAAATGGCTGTAGCTGTGTGAGTTTCTTTCTTAGTCCTCTGTTGCATTCTGCTGGGTCTGTATTTCTGTATCGTACCTGTACCGCACTCCCATTGTTACTATGCATGTAGCATGATATGAAATCAGGCATTGTGATAACTGCAGCATGATTCTGTGTGTTCAGAATTACTTTGACTATTTGGAAGGCAGCTATGCTCACCACTATACCACCAACGCAGGCTTACTTTGACTATTTGGAACCTTTTGTGCTTATATATGATTATTATGACTTTTTCGTATTTCTACAAGAGATGTCATTAGTGTTTTGATGGGAGTTGCATTGCTTCTGTAGATCACCTTTGGTAATATGGCATTTTTTGCAGTATTAATTCTGCCAGTACATGATTATATTAGGTGTTTTCATCCTGTGGTGATTTCTTTGTTTTCTTTCAGTGTTATAGAATTTTCATTGTCAGTGTGTTGGGTATATTTTTTTCCAGTTTTTTAGAGGCTATTTTAAATAGGATTGTTTTTTTGAGTTCTTTCTTGGCATGGTCAATTTTAGTATATAGAAAAGGTATTGATTCTTGTATGTTGACTTTGTATTCTGTTACTTTGCTGAAAGTTATTTCTGAAATCCAAGAGTTTTCTGGTGGAGTCTTCAGAAATTTTTTGTTTTAGTATGGAACACTCGTGCAAATAGGGATAATTTGATTTCATCCTTTCTTATTTGTATCCCCTTTGTCTCTTCCTCTTGCTTTATTGCTCTGTACAAAAATATAACACCTATGTAGACTAAGAATGGCAAGATTAGACCCTTCTCTTGTTTTGAATTAATTTTCACCCTGATTATGGTAGCACATGCCTTTAGTCCCAGCACTTGAGAGGCAGAGTCAGGTCGATCTCTGAGTTCAAGGCCAGCCTGGTCTACAGAGTAAGTTCCAGGACAGCCAGGGATATACAGAGAAACCTGTCTCAAAAAATCAAAAAAATAAGAAACTTCATTTTTTTTCTTTATTCAGTATAGTGCTGCCTATAGGTTTGGTATATATGGCTTTTTAAAAATCATTTATAAGCTGTGGAATTTTGTTGAAGCCTTTTCTATATTTATAAGATGACTGTGTGATTTTTTTTTGTCCCTGATTCTGTTTATGTGCTCTAGTATGATTTCTATATGCTGAAACAGTTTTATATCACTGGAGGTAGATGTAGATTTATATGGTATGTGTATGTGGGGGGGGGCACATGTCAAGGTGCATGTATGGAGATCTGTGGACAGTTTGCAGGTGTCCATTCTTGCCTTCCGCTAAGTGGGCTCCAGAGACCAAACTCAGGCCTCCAGGCTTTGGAAAAAATGTCTTTATCTGAAAAGTCATCAAACTGTCCCCATTTGTCTTTTTTTTCTGGTTTTTCGAGACAGGGTTTCTCTGTATTGTTTTGGAGGCTGTCCTGGAACTTGCTCTGTAGACCAGACTGTCCTTGAACTCACAGAGATCCGCCTGCTTCTGCCTCTTGAGTGCTGGGATTAAAGGCGTGTACCACCAATGCCTGGCTCTTAGTTTTCTTTTTAATTTACTCCATTTGTCTATTTTTGATTAACTGGTCTTGATATTTTTTTGAGTAGATGATTAACAGTAAATTTTTCTTGTGAGGTGCTGTTTTCTTTAAGTCTGATTTGCTGTAAAATTTCAGAAATTTGGGGTTGGAAAGATGACTCAATGGTTTAGAGCCCTCACTGCGCTTACAGAGGACCGGGCTCTCACAGCTGCCTGTAACTCCGGTTCCTGGGGATCTGATGCAGTCCTGACCTTTGTAACACCTGTGTGCACGTGGTGCACACACACACACACACACACTAAAAGTTCTTACAAAATTTCAGAAATTCTTTCACTTATGGAATTGATTTTTCATATGTGTGCACTGGGATTGAACCTCAGGATCAAGTTTTGTAAAATGGACTCTTTTTTTTTTTTTTTTTTTTTTTTGGTTTTTTTTTTTTCAAGACAGGTTTTCTCTGTATTGTTTTGGAGGCTGTCCTGGAACTCGCTCGGTAGACCAGGCTGGCCTCGAACTCACAGAGATCTGCCTGCCTCTGCCTCCCGAGTGCTGGGATTAAAAGCGTGCGCCACCAACGCCCGGCAAAATGGACTCTTTTTGGACTAGATTATGCTTTCTTGTTAGAAAGTTGCTTTGGAGTATGAATCGTCAGCATAGGTATATTTGTTTATAAATTGTGTAAACTTACTAATATTCTAGCAATTGATTTGTGGCTGTACTATACACACAGCATAGCCACAGTGTAGACAGGATAGGCTAGGTATGATATAATGTGATAGAAACAGTACTTTAAGATAGTTTGCTAATTGTGAAGGCCTTTTTGTTTGTTTGATGACCTCCTCCCCTCCCAACCCCCCCCCCCCCCCTTCCAGGATTTCTTTGTGTAGCCGTAGCTGCCCTGGCCAGTGTTCAGGAGCCGGTTCCCTCTTTTCACCAGGTGGGTTCTAAGGATCAATATTAGGTCAACAGTCTTGGCACCAAGTGACTTTACTCACTGAGCCATCTCACCAGTACAAGTAGAAGGTTTTTCTGTCTGTTTTTTGTTTTGGTTTATTTGGAGATAGGATTTCTCTGTGTAGCCTTAGCTGTCTTAGAACTAACTTACTTTGTAGACCAGGCTGACCTTGAATTGAGAAATCTGCTTGCCTCTGACTCCCAAGTGCTCGGATTAAAGGCGTGTGCCACTACACCCAGCAACTAGAAGTATTTTAAATTCTTGGGTCCCCCTACCCTCCCATAATCTTTGAAGCCCTTTTTTTCTTTCTTTTTTTTAAAATGAAAGTTGACTTGAAATAGTTAATTTAACTTGAAAATTTACCTCATGCATTTTGATTCTATGCATGACATTGCCCACATGAATAGGAACACTTCTTTGGGATTCGCTGTAGTATAGGCTCCACACTTTTTTCATCAATAGCTTTTGTATTCAAATGACCTCTTATAGCAATATAATGTTCAGGTACAGCACAATATTGATATTCTTGCTTAATTTTTTTCAGCAAAACAAATATGCCTGAAGTTGATAAACTCTTTCAAAAACAAAGAATAGTGGGTAATAATTTTAGTAGCAAGATTGTTTGTATATGGAATTGGCTAATTTGATTAGTTCTGCCAAGCAGATAACACAACAAAACAAGCAAACTGTTTGAGTTAGATATAAAATTCTAATTATCATGTCACTATTAAGGTATAGGTCATTAATAAGTTAATACTTACATGTAGTGGGCTTTTAAGTTTAACATGAAATCTTAAATTGTGGAGCACATGATTATTGGAAAGACAATATTGTGCATGTTTAACATAAATAAATGACTTTTTAAAAATATTTGAGTTCTATTAGGTGTGGTGGCTTACACCTGGAATTCCAACACTTAGGATGCTGGAACAGGAGAGTTGATGTAACTTTGACACCATCCTAGCCTATCTGCATAGTAAGTTTCAAGCGGCTTGAGCTACCAGGTGAGAGTCTTTTCACAAAACAGAAAGGATTAAAAACATGCTGGGAGAGGCAGGCGGATCTCTGTGAGTTTGAGGCCAGCCTGGTCTACAAAGTGAGTTCCAGGACAGCCTCCAAAGCTACAGAGAAACCCTGTCTCAAAAAACCAAAAAAAAAAAAAAAAAAAAAAAAAAAAAATGCTGGGTTTAAAAGCATGCATCACTTTACCCAGTTAATTGATCTCATAACCAAGTACTATTTTAGTTAAAAAAAAATCCAGTGTCCTTCGTGTAGACAGCATGGGAACACTAATAACTGCCACTTTCTCTAGGATTTCTTTGTTTGTTTGTTTGTTTGTTTGTTTGTTTGAGACATGTTTTCTCTGTGGCTTTGGAGGCTGTCCTGGAACTAGCTCTTGTAGACCAGGCTGGTGTCCAACTCACAGAGGTCCTCCTGCATGTGCCTCTCAAGTATTGGGATTAAAGGCGAGCACCACCACTGCCTGGCTTTACTAGGACTTCTAAATTTAGGAATTCACAAACCCACGTTTCCTCCTTCATCTGAGACTTTGGTTCCTATATTCACACGGTGTTCCGTTTAATAGGATCAGTGATGGGGGTCAGACTTCAGTTCCTCTTTCTAGTCTCTACCTCCCTGCCAGTTCTTATCATCTTGGCAAGTGACAACTTTATTATTTGCCACAAGAACACCTCATGGAGGGGCAACAAGATGGCTTCGTGGGCAAAAATCACTTTTGCTACCAATCCTGGCTGTTTGAGTTTGAGTCCTGGAACCTACCTAGTAGAAGCAGAGGGTAAGGTGGACTTTTTAAAAAAAGAGTTCACCAGACCCAAGATAAATGATAAATAGCCACCGCAGTCTTTCTGCTCCAGAAAATGTAGTCATTGCTATGAGCCAGCACCTCCTCTATCTTATAATGATTAAGGCTGCATATGAAACCACGCCCAAAGAGTGTGGCCACCACCACAAGTTCACTGGCAAGGCAAGATGCCACTGCAACCCCCCTTTTGCCTAAAGAAGAGGCTTTTAAGCCTGATACAAAAACTATATGCGGTGATAACAGACCATCCTCTAACCTCCACGAGTATCCAGCGTCGTGCTAGGTCTCCTCTGTAATGAGTAAATAGAACATTTCCTTTTAAAAGGAAAATGTTATTGGTGACTCCTTACCTACAGCCACATTTCCTTCTTTTTTGTCCGTCTTAACTCGTCGTAGCCAGGTTAATATCATCTCATACCCAGCACTGTCATCATCATTCATGACGTTGGCTCATGGAAGCCCTCTGACCTTTGAAGTACATCAAGCCAAGTGACTGGATTTTGGTTGTTTGTTTTAGTTTTTGCTTGTTTGTCTTTCAATATTGTTTGTTTTGTTTTTTGTTTTTGTTTGTTTTTCAAGACAAAGTTTCTCTGTGTAGCCCTGGCTATCCTGAAACTTGCTCTGTAGTCCAGACTAGCCTTGAACTCACAGAGATCTACCTGCCTCTGCCTCCTGAGTGCTGGGACTAAAGGCGTGTGCCACCACCGCCTAGCCTAAGTGAGCTTTTTAAAATCAAAGTCTGATGGTGTCAGTGTGCTCAGCCCACCCTGTGAGCTCCTTTAGTGACTGGAAGACTGGATGTGGCCCCTTTCATGCTATGCTTCCTCACATTTATAGAGAAGATCTTGTTAAGTGTTCCTGGCTGGCCTCGAGCTCGCTGTTCTCCTCCCTCAGCCTCCTTTGTGCTAGGATAGCAATCAAGAGTCACCATGTCCAACTTTACGTGCTTTCTTAATACTTCATCTGGTTGACTCTGGGCCAGCAAGACTAGCTTCTTGGTTTATTGGGCCAGGTTTCAGACATACCTTGCTCTAAGTTATTTGCATTCACTATTCTTTCATTGCTTTCAACCCCTTGCTCATATATCCTTCAATGTGACTTTACCTTGCCGGGCGGTGGTGGCGCATGCCTTTAATCCCAGCACTCGGGAGGCAGAGGCAGGCGGATCTCTGTGAGTTTGAGGCCGGGCTGGACCGACAGCCTCGAAAACAATACAGAGAAATCCTGTCTCGTAAAAACCAAAAAAAAAAAAAAATGTGACTTTACCTTAACATAAATTGCAGACTCCATCTTGCTTGCCTCTGTGTCTTTTTCCACTTTAATTTTTTCTCAAATATACTGCTTGTCTGTTTACATAACCAAGGTAAGACTCCCTTTTCATTTTTGTTTACTACCAAGTAAACAGCAACTGTCACATGATAGGTGGCATACTTTTTTATTTTGTGGAATAAATGAGTCAAATCACCAATTGTTTCTTTTTTCTCTTTCTTTCTTCCTTTTTTTTTTTTTTTTTTTTTGAAACAAGGTTTCTACATAGCCCTGGCTATCTTGGAACTCAATATGTAGAATAGGCTGACCTCTAACTCAAATCTGCCTGCCTCTGCCTCCTGAGTGCTTAGATTAAAGGTATGGGCCACCAAGGCCAGCCAGTAAAATCTTTTATTATCTTTATTTTACTTGATACTAAGCTGGGGAGTCTTCCCCTATTCCATTAGACACTATCTAGCTATACTTGCCTGGAACTCAGTATCTCCTAGCCTGAGCCTCCTCAGTGCTGGCATTACAAGTATGTGCTACTCTCCCCAGCAATGCTAAGATTCTTTTTTTGTTTGTCTGTTTTTGAGACAGGGTTTCTCTGTAGCTTTGGAGCCTGTCCTGGAACTCACTCTGTAGACCATGCTAGCCTCGAACTCCCAGAGATGCCTGCCTCTGTCTCAGGGAGTGCTGGGACTAAAGGTGTGTGCCACCACACCCAACTTAATTGATGTTTCTTTACAAGTATTTGAGAACTAAGACCAAGTTAGTAGAAAGTCAGAACTGTAGTACTGGTGTCCTGAGTGCTGCTCTTTTTAACCCTTTTATTAATATTTGTTTGTTTATGGAGAGTGAGGGAGTAGATATATGTGCATGTGCAGTGGCACATGTGTGCAGTTCAGAAGACAACTTTCAGGAGCCCATTCTCTCCTTCCCCCATGTGAGTGTCAGGACCAGATGCAAACCATCAGGTTCGAATGCTGGGGTAATAAGGTACTTAGAAACCAAATGTTCTTTTTGTTGGTTTTTGGTCTCTGCCAATTTTTAGTCTATTGACACTGTTTTAATTTGTTTTATCTTGTTAGAGATCTAGAGTTCATATTTCTCATTTTATAGGTTAAGATCTTTGGACACAGAGACGTTAATTAGTGACAAATCTTTTTCGTCTTTTTTTTTTTTGGTTTTTCGAGACAGGGTTTCTCTGTGGCTTTGGAGGCTGTCCTGGAACTCGCTTGGTAGTCCAGGCTGGTCTCGAACTCACAGAGATCCGCCTGCCTCTGCCTCCCGAGTGCTGGGATTAAAGGCGTGCGCCACCAACGCCCGACATCTTTTTCGTCTTTAAACAGTAATTTTTTTTTTACATATTTTATTTTGGACTTTGTGGTGTTTGCCAGTTGGTGAGGCAGATTGCTAAGCCTTCTCAACTTAATGAAGTATCTATTCTATTTACTTTTATTTTAGTGCATAACTCTTTCTAGAATAAGCAATTGGCCAATATCTGCTGGATTTAAATTCACTTCTATTTTCCCTATTTTTATTTGAACACTTCATCCTGTGAATTCTCACTTTTTGTTGTTTTGTTTCTCTCTCCCCTCTCCCCCCTTCCTCCTTCTCCCCCTCTTTCTCAGTATGTGCATGCGTGTGTGTGTGTGTGTGTGTGTGTGTGTGTGTGTGTGTGTGTGTGTGTGTGTGTATTTGAGGTCTGAGGCGGAGTCTTGCTAGATAACCAGGGTGGCCTTGAACTTGGGTCCTCCTGCTAGTCCCATCTCCTGAGTGTTTAAAGGCTGAGCCACTGGCTTGTTCATTGCACCTTCTCGCCATATTTCTTTAGGTCTTCAAATCTAACTAATAGCTAGCTGTGTAGTGAAGAGTATTCTTTGAGTTCAGTGCCTTCCAGAATTCATGCTGAACTTATAAATGCAGGTAAAAGTAAAAATTTAAATTTAAGGAGCAGAACAAGATCCAATGTTTTAACATTAATTCAATAACTATATAGCTTATATCCATTGGTTTCATCCAGCCCAAAGAAAGAAAGCTATTTATAATATTTGTAATTCTTACTTGGGTATATAATAACACTGCTTGTAAATTTTTTAAAATATCCATACTGATGTGTGACACCCGTGCCACAAGCAAGTCTAATGTACCGGGAGAAAGCCTGGAGAATTAAATGAAAGACAAGTGTTCATCTTCTTTTCATGTGAGTGTGGGGAGGTTAACTCACCTGCATATAAGAGTATGTAGGCTATGGAATAGCTTGAGTGACAATGGCCCCATAGGCACATATGTTTGAGTAATTGGGCCCCATTTGGTGGAACTGTTTGGAAAGGAGTAGTTGGTGTGGCCTTGTTGGAGGATATGTGTCACCAGGGTGGGTTTTGAGACTTGGGAAACAAGCTTCCTGCCATCCCCAGTGTGCTCTCTTCCTCCTCCTCGTGGTTTGAGATGTAAGCCCTTAACTGTTCCTGCCACTAGGCCTTTGCTTTGCCTTCATGGACTTGACCCCCCTGAAACAGTAAGCCCAGTTAATTGCTTCTTTTATTTATTTTTATTTTTATTTATTTATTTTTGTTTTTCAAGGCAAGGCTTCTCTGTGGCTTTGGAGGCTGTCCTGGAACTAGCTCTTATAGACCAGGCTGGTCTGGAACTCACAGAGATCCGCCTGCCTCTGCCTCCTGAGTGCTGGGATTAAAGGCGTGAGCCACCACTGGCCGGCAAATGCTTCTTTTAAAAAGTTGCCTTCGTCGTGGTATTTTATCACAGCAATAGAAAATAAATAGCAGACCTAAGAAGATGCTTGTGAATACTTTTCAGCTTCCCCCTGCTGTTTGTCTACAGTCCTTGTTGATATAATTCTATAGTTGTGAAAAGTAACTCCTCAGAAGATTGACATATATTTGTATTTCTTCATAAGTATCTTTTATTTTAATTTTTAGATTTATTTTTCATTTTAAAATTATGTGTTGGTGTGCGTGTGTGTGGGCACACATAAGTTTGGTTGCCCACAATGGTCAGAACAAGATGTTAGATCCCTTGAAGCTAGAGTTATAGATTGTTGTAAGCTGTTGTGTGGGTACGGGAAATTGGACCTGGGCCCTCTGTAAGAGCAGCAATAAGAATAAGCTGTAAGAATTAATCAGTATAAAGTTAGAGATGCTAAGAAACAGCTAGGTTCATTTTCTCCCAGCCAACCTTCTGCAACAGTGAATGTTTTGGATCCATGGCAAGGGAAAGCCTGGCAGGCCAGCCTGCCTTGGCTCCATTATAATGTTAATGGTTCAAGCAAAAGCTTGTCACTGAAGAGCTTTCCCTAGAAGACTCTGAACTGTGTCTGTTATATTAGGCAATACCTAATACTTTTCTTCCTATTGATTTTCATGTGTGTTCCCAAAAAGTACGTTTGTTTTCAAATTACTATTTAATCTTCTTACACTGTACAGTTTTACAAGTGAAACATACATTTCTTGCAGAATGGTGCAAAATGCAGTGCCAAAGCATCTGTGGTGCCATGAGGTGTCTAGGCAATATTGCAGAAATAAATTTATTGATTTAGATCTTATAGGATAGTCATAGTGCTGGATTTTTGCTTTTTGGTTTTTTTTCTTCTTTGTTTTTTTTCCTTTTTTCCTTTTTGAGACAATCTATGTTTCACTCTGTATGTCTGGCTGTCCTGGAACTCATTCTGTAGATTGGGCTGGCCAGAAACTCACAGAGATCAACCTGCTACTGCCTCCTGAGTGCTGGAATTAAAGGTGTGTACCACCACTGCCTGTTACAAGTAGAATGTTTTATAAACATACAATATTAAGTGGAATAGGGGAATCTAGAATAAGTAATTTTATAGTTTAATATTTCTCAGAACTTTTTTAAAAACTTAAAAGACATTGCAAATATATATGTGTGGTAATACAATGAACGTAAATGTACCTACCACAGATTTTTCCTCCTATTTTTAAATTTACTTTTATTATTTTAGTTTATCTGTATGTATGTTTTGGTTGAATGTATGTCTATGCCTTCGGGGGGATTGGATTCCCTGGAACTGGAGGGACAAATAGTTGTAAGGTGCAATGTGGATGCTACACATTGAAACTGGGTCCTTTGTAAGAGCAACAAATACTCTTAACCACTGAGTGGTTAAGGACCCAGCTCTAAGCATGGAATGCATTTATGTCTGCTATTGTATA